CTTGCCAAAAGTTGTTCTCATCCAGGCACCAGTGGACTGCAGTTTCGACCTTGCATCGGTATTATCATCACCCTCAGCGGGATTCGAACCGCGACAGTGCAGGATGGAAGCATGACACGCTAACCACTCGGCTACACTGCCACGAGTACCCTTGAGTCACGCTGGATGAGAATAACCTTTGGGAAAGCAAGGCTATGTGAAATTCAATGAAAACGTCAGCTCAACTCATATCATTGTGGGAAAATTCGACTACCAGTCCTTTATCACCTTAGACGAAATAGGATGAATACATCTCATTACACTGATTTACCGGTAGTCTCGAAACCCTACTATCATACGAATGTAACTTTTCCCTCGCCACCGTAACCAAAATACGGTGATTATATCTAATATTTATGGATTAGTGTTAGTCTCGAAAACCTGCTTATATACAATAAATAAAAACCTTTGAGACTAGCCCTAAAGCCTTTTGTCGGGTCCCTAACTATGGGCTTATATCTTGCCCTAACACATGCAACATTTTTTTACATAGACATGCCTATCCATGAATATCACTGCTCTTCCTTTGCCTGCCCTCAATCCTAATTGGTCATTTTCCGTAATTTTCCTTATGATAGTATTAACTGTCCTATTCTTTTATGGCGCTTATGTATGTCCATAAATTATAGGGACAACTTTTAATTCAATGTTAATTCTTGTATCCTTTTGGAAACTATCTGTTATACTTATCACTTCTATCAAGATTTCCTGGCTGAAGTCTCTACTATATGGAAAGTCCGAGTTCAAGCCCTTTGATGGGATCTCCTCTTTGGAAATATTCAGTGAGGTTTTGAATAGATTTACCATATTTTAGCAACGGCATTCCATTCCTTCAACTTCATCTGGTATGGATTGTTACCCTACGCTAATTTTCGTGTACTATTTTCTTAATTTCTTATCATTTTTTTTAAATTGCCAAAGAACTTTTTCATACAACTTATCAGCTATTCTTTCTAGCATAAGGAACTCTTCCTAACAAAAATTGTTGGACTAGATTTGCCTGGGTCTGGCCTTAATTCTAATTTGTGAGTGCAGATTTTCAATGTTTTCTTTAATCCTAGTATCAACCAAATCATAGAATACGCCGAAAAGATCAGTTTTGATCTTATACAGTAAATTAGGTGCACAAATAACATAAAATCGAGGTATAATTATATGTGAAG